CGGCGCCGGGCCCGCTCCGCTCCGCGCCTCCGCCGGGCCCGGCGGCCGTGCGCCGCGCCCCGGGGACCGCCTCCGGGGGTCTCCCCGGACGTCTCCTCCTCGCCGCTCGGCTCGCGGGGCGCCCGCCGCGGCTGTCTCCCCGCCGAGCTCCCGGTCCGCCTCGGCGCTCGCCGCGCCTCCCCGATCGCTTCGGCGCCCGCCTCGCCGATAGCCTCAGCTCGCGGCCGCCGGCCCGGCCCCCCAACCCCGCGGGGATGCCGCCTCGCCTCGCCCGGCCCTCCGCCCTCCGCCGGGGGCCGAAGCTCGGGCCCGCTGCCGCCGGCGCAGCTGTTGTTGTGAAGCCCCGACGCCGCCGCTCACTCCGCCATGTTGCCGCCCCCTGCCTGCGGTAGCGGCCTCTGCGCCTGCGCGCAGCGCCCGGGGAGGGGGGGCGGGGCCCTCGCTGCACCCCCTCTTTCTCCCGGCGCTCCTCCTCCGCATCGCTCACCCCCCGTCCCTCCCCCGCGCGCTGGGATCGGACCGACAGGTGAGCAGGTGCGCCAGGGAGAGTCCTGAGAGGAAGGACGCAGCTCGGCCGTCGGTCAGCATCCTCCCCGGCCCCGCCGTGCCGGCCACGTGCGGGGAGTGCAGGGCTGCCTGCCCCCGGCCGCCTTGACCCTCCTCGCCCTCCCCGGGCCCCCGCGACCCCGCCTCGCCGCGGGGGTCTGGGGACAGGTGCGATGTCGCGGGGCTTTATCCTCAGCCACCGGGGAGGCTGACACCTGCGCGCACGGGCGCGACTCAAAATAGATCCTGTCAGACCGGGAGCCTCCCAGCCGAGCTAGCCCTTGAACTCGCCTCGCAGACTACCCGATGGATGCAGTAGTTGGGTGGGAGCAGCAAATCCCACGCTAGAATCCCCAAAGGTTCCCGGGTATGGTGCCAGTTGATGATGTCTCCCTTCTCCATAGGCGTAGGCGGCTCACAAGATTTGTTTGAATTATCAAAATATCTAGGAGGTCGTCACGACCGGCCTTAGTCCGTGAGAAATTTTTCATTGAAAACATTAACGGGCACTTGGTAATATCTCTAATGGTGTTGAGTTAAAACCAAATAAGCATGACTGCTGGTTTCTTCCTTGGCATCAAGTGATACAGTTTCTTTACTATTTCAAGAGGTCTGCACTTTTCAATAAAGGCATATTGTTCCTCACCAGAAATATTAGAAATCTTCAAATCATATTAATTGTATTCAAATCATTTCAATTGTCATCTCAATCAAAAAACGCCAATATATAAATTCATCATAATATATTTGTTAATCTTTTTTATTGGCCCTTCAGTCAACTCCCATGATTCAGGATCTTATAAACATTTCTGAAGAACCATAGGAGAAACTTTTTTAATACCTTTCTTAATACCTGTGCTTACAATTAGTTCTTGGTTCTATGTTTATTATTAGTCTAAACTCCCACTGAATTGATGAACTTCTTAAATAACTGAAAGAACTGGTAACTGGGTATGGCCATTTAAACGAAATAGCAATGGAATTATAAAATGCTTACGTCATTGAAACTGCTTGAGGAATTTGCAAAACCTTAAGACTTCACAGTATGACAATTAAGAATTCCACTGACACAGATGGTGGTGGTGCATGCCTTTAATCTCAGCACTGGAGAGACACAGGTATCTCTCTGAGCTCAAGGACAGCAGGCTCTACAGTTAGTTTCAGGATACCCAGGGCTACACAGAGAAACCTTATATAGAAAAATACAAACAAACAACAACAAACTGTGACTTTTAGAACTACCTCAGTATGTGTGCCTGACCCAGGTAAGCATTGGATAGTTCTAGAAGAACTATTTCAATTGCAAATTTAAAATGCAATATCTCTTTTAAATTATATAATTCCAGGCTGAAAGGTTTTATATGTCTGTGTCTGTGTCTCTCTGTGTGTGTATGTATGTATGTGATGTGTACATATGTAATGGATATATAGATCAGTAAGTTGTACCGCTTTACTCTAGACATCTTGAATGAGAGCTTTGAGAGATACTGACAGGCTGCTCTTTCCTTTTCCTTTTGTAACGAATACTTTAATGTCCTTTTGACTGCTCTGAATTTTCTGTTTTGTGTCTCAAGCAATAGGTGTGTTCATTTTGTTTTTGTTTTCCTTGTTCATTTTCAGTTACTAGAGATGAGGAATAGGTAAAGAAAATAATCACTACTCAAAGTAGGAAAGGTTCATTTTTTGCATACTTTTGTGTACTTTATTAAATTTCAGAAATGCTTTTTAAGCTTGCTAATTAAAGTGCTCTGTAGATTGTCAGCTTCTTGCCCCCTAGAAAATGGAGAGGGCTCTGACTCATCCTTTGACTATCTGTGCAATCTACTCAGGCCATCCGAACTTCAGTATCCTTAGTCCTTAAACAGACATGATAATACCTATTCTACAGGAAAGAACCCAGTGAAATGTCAGTTCAGCCCCAACTAGCATACAGTACAATGCATCTCTGTATTCTTAACATACAGGCAGTGTGTGTGAAGAATGACCTATGTAAATACACACAAAAGACCAATTATAACCTGTTTACAATGGCCTCATCAAATTTAAACTTCAGTTATTTCTTCAATATTGGACCCTTCCACCCCATTTTTAACCACTAATTTCTCTCTTAAGCATAGAACACAAATACAGTACAGAAATTGAGCATTTTCACCTCATTTGACTCAGATTAATCATTACCAACCAACTGATATTTGCATGTCTATTTTAAATTTTCAAGTTACTAGATGATTTTAGTATTCTTCTGTTTAAAGAAATATTATCTTAACCATAAAAAGCAAACCAGAAAGTCAGTATATAAAAATATTAAGTCAGTGTCATAAAATTAAGTATTCTGGAATGCACAAAATTTAAGAATATTACAGATGCCTTAATGCACACATGTGCCCCAAGTATGGCATACTGACGGGCAGAAAATACACGAAATGCACACCTTTGCACCATTAAGCCAGCAGTGGCTTGGCCCAGTCTAGCTTACATGCCATTCTTTTCCTTTCATTCTCGTTGCTGTCATCTTACTAGAAAGTTTCTACTCAGGTTTTTGGACTCCACCCTCACTCATCTCCAACCCCGTGTGCCATGAATAATCTTAAATCTCTTTTTGATGGGCAAACAGTGGTCTAGCATGCTTACTATATTCATCACTATAAATTCTACATACACCCCCATCATCTGTTTAAAACACCACCAGTGACTCTTTGTCTAACATAGTATGATTAAAATGCACATCTGAGTGCCAAAGGCCTTTCGTGCTTTGGCTTTTTCTCAAGCTTTACCTCACAGTATTTCTGACAGGAAACTTTTATCTAAGACTCCCAACATTTTGGAGTGTGTTCCACGTGTCTCATTCCTTAAAAATGTTTAGCTGACTCCTAGACTCTTACCTAGAGATTTATACACTTAATATCTGTCGATTGAACTGCTTTCAGGTTTCAATTTAATGGAAAAAATTTAATTAAATGACTTCTGCTTTTAATGTTATTGTGTGTATGTATGTGTGTGTTTATGTTTGTGTGTATGCTTCACTCAAGGCACACAGGTGTGTGAAAGTCAGAGGACATCTTTTTCTCTCTCTCCACTATGGTGTCTAGAGGATAAACTCAGGTGTTCAGTCTTCTTTGGCAAACAGTTTTAACCACTGAGCCATGTCACTAGCCCAAAACGTTATTCTTTATAAAGTATAACACCTCATATATTTGAAACACATGCACATGGGCACACATGCATATTGTGAGTTGTATTATTATTTTCTCAGGGGAAAAAAATGCTCAAGTCCTAATTGTCAGTATTTGCCATTTGTAGCTTATTTAGAAAAAAAAAAAAAAGATGGCTGTAGATGCAAGTTCAGATACAAGTATGCTGGAATGGTGTAGGAGTTAACTGAATAGGATTAGTGTCCATCTAAAAAGAAAAGAGACAAATAAACCCAGAGAAGAGGAAGTGAGGCAGAAACACAGAACGCCATGTGACTACCCAGACAGACCTTGGAGTTCTGCCACAGGAGGCCAAAAAAGACAGGGCTGCTGACAAGCACCAGAAGCTCGGAAACAATCTCCTGTAGTACCTTCAAGGAGAGAGAGCCTGAGGAGCACCTTTACTGGACCTCTGTTCTCCAGATCTGTGAGAGGATCTCTGCTGGTTAAAGCCACTCCTATTCTCATTCCTACACTAGCTTGTACTTTGTTACAGCAGCTCTTAGAAACTGACACGTGTACATCATACATGTGATCTTGCTGCCTCTGTAAACAATAACCAAGGAAGATAAGGACCCATGGCTCACTTTGAATAACTCCTGGGTTTCAAGATTAATATATATATATATATATATATATATATATATATATATATATATATAAAGCTTTAATCAACCCAAATTCCTTTCTGCCCAATGACTGTACTGTGTTCTCTTAGCTGGGCACTTTACTCACAGTCCTCTTTCTGTCCACTGTCCTCATAAACCCCACTGAAATTTCTGTCAGTGCACTGCTGCCATCTTCATGAATACATTCATGATCCCATCT